TCAACACTCTAGTGTAACACAGGGTCACACGGTAGTATTTACACCAATCAACACTCTAGTGTAACACAGGGTCACACGGTATTATTTACATCAATCAACACTCTAGTGTAACACAGGGTCACACGGTAGTATTTACATCAATCAACACTCTAGTGTAACACAGGGTCACACGGTAGTATTTACACCAATCAACACTCTAGTGTAACACAGGGTCACACGGTATTATTTACATCAATCAACACTCTAGTGTAACACAGGGTCACACGGTAGTATTTACACCAATCAACACTCTAGCGTAACACAGGGTCAAATGGTTGTATTTACACCAATCAACACTCTAGTGTAACACAGGGTCACACGGTAGTATTTACACCAATCAACACTCTAGTGTAACACAGGGTCACACGGTAGTATTTACATCAATCAACACTCTAGTGTAACACAGGGTCACAGGGTAGTATTTACACCAATCAACACTCTAGTGTAACACAGGGTCACATGGTTGTATTTACACCAATCAACACTCTAGTGTAACACAGGGTCACATGGTTGTATTTACAACAATCAACACTCTAGTGTAACACAGGGTCACACGGTAGTATTTACACCAATCAACACTCTAGTGTAACACAGGGTCACATGGTTGTATTTACACCAATCAACACTCTAGTGTAACACAGGGTCACATGATTGTATTTACACCAATCAACACTCTAGTGTAACACAGGGTCACACGGTATTATTTACATCAATCAACACTCTAGTGTAACACAGGGTCACACGGTAGTATTTACACCAATCAACACTCTAGTGTAACACAGGGTCACATGGTTGTATTTACACCAATCAACACTCTAGTGTAACACAGGGTCACATGATTGTATTTACAACAATCAACACTCTAGTGTAACACAGGGTCACATGGTTGTATTTACACCAATCAACACTCTAGTGTAACACAGGGTCACATGATTGTATTTACAACAATCAACACTCTAGTGTAACACAGGGTCACACGGTAGTATTTACACCAGTCAACACTCTAGTGTAACACAGGGTCACATGGTTGTATTTACACCAATCAACACTCTAGTGTAACACAGGGTCACATGGTTGTATTTACATCAATCAACACTCTAGTGTAACACAGGGTCACACGGTAGTATTTACACCAATCAACACTCTAGTGTAACACAGGGTCACATGGTTGTATTTACACCAATCAACACTCTAGTGTAACACAGGGTCACACGGTAGTATTTACACCAATCAACAATCTAGTGTAACACAGGGTCACACGGTTGTATTTACACCAATCAACACTCTAGTGTAACATAGGGTCACATGGTTGTATTTACACCAATCAACACTCTAGTGTAACACAGGGTCACACGGTAGTATTTACACCAATCAACACTCTAGTGTAACACAGGGTCACATGGTAGTATTTACACCAATCAACACTCTAGTGTAACACAGGGTCACATGGTTATATTTACACCAATCAACACTCTAGTGTAACACAGGGTCACACGGTAGTATTTACACCAATCAACACTCTTGTGTAACACAGGGTTACACTTTATTATTAACTTCAATCAAAACGATACAAAACAAGTTAAAACATCTTTTCTCAATTTATCCTAATCAGTTGATATGAATATATGAATTAGCGATGGAAACAGGTTGCAAAATTTTTTTAGCGATTGTTCAACATAGTGAAGATATTGGAATTCTCTGCTGGATATGGAAGTATGATGCTAGAATTTCAGGAACGCTCTTTGCACTCCCGGATGAAGATTAAGAGACGGATCATTTGCTATACTTTTGTTAAAAGTCCACGTTTAATCCATAATGTCTACAACACAATCATGCATGCAGTAAATGGTTGTTTTAATATGCTTTAAATGTGTATGAATGACAAAACTGAATTCTGTTTAACTAGGTTTGAATCTTTTGCAAATCTAAATAGATTCAATAATCTCCATTCAAATATCACCGATAGCTGTACCTAACACTTGAACTATCTGATCTGGAGAGTGTTGTTTGTTTGTTTTGCTTTCGGCGACGTCGTGTCTTTGGCAAATTCAATTCAATTAAATAAACTATACCATAGTGAATTTCATTAATGAAAAAATGCACCTAATGTATATGTGGCAATAAGATAATTATACCAAGAGGGATAATTCAAGGTTTGTGATTATAACCACGCTGTATATATTTAAATCAATATCAAAACGATATACATCGTTTCAAATCAATCAAATTAATTTAATCAGCTGCATGTACCAAAGGGAACTGTGACATTTCTTCTGTCTTCCAAAGTATACATACCTTCCACAGGTTTCTGTGACATCACTTGACAATCCTGTATAACAGTAATACGTAGCTGAAAGGAGACTAGTGTTTTTATATTCCCCATCGTATATAACACCTATTCATGCTTTGTTTGTGGTGTGTAGATATCACAACCACATTTGTAAACACAATTACTTTTCTGAATTTCTCATTGTAGTATATTGAGACAACGGTAACACAGATGATTTCAATATGACAGGTTTCTCCTGTCAGAAACCTAAAATATGACCCCTGTAGTAGTTGTACAATATGTCTATCAAATATCAATAATTTAACACATCATATAATATACAGTGATGGTCTTCCTTCGTCATTTATGTGACCAAGTTAAAAAAGATAAATCATATATACTTTAAAAAAAACCCAGAGGCATCGTGAAAGGTTAATGCATATGAGTATCGATACATTGGTACCATCTGAATGCATATACATATATATATATTGTTTAGGTAACGGCTTACTAACAGTCCATAGTGTGATATATCAATTTATTGATGAGGAAGGAATGGTGCCGATGTTCTGACTGTTAAAACTAAATAATACGAATTCCATCAATTTTTGTTGTGTTTGGGAGATGGTTTCTCGCTCTGATATAGGGATAAATAGAGGTACGGAGTGGAGAGGCAGAAAAATAAGTTTACCCGAGACAGAGTAGGCTGCTGTGCAATGGTCTCTGGATGTTGTCAACATTTATTTGTTATTAATTGTTTAATGCATAGTCTTAAAAGGAAATTAAAATATAAATGTGTAAGAATGACTGAAATATCAGTCTGAAGTAGCGATATGATCGGATGGTCTAGTCGTGTTTTATCGTGTTATTCATATTAAAGACTCCCAGTATGATTTATGTGTTTAAGTATATCCTATTAAATTTATGCAAATGAGAATCATCTCAAGCTCAGACACAGGTGTAAAATGTACCTTTGTGTAATCAAAAATTGGCCTTCCCGAAAGTTTGAACTGGTATACATGTAAAACCTTCGCCTACCTTTGCAATATCTCCTCTGATTGGACCCAGGGGTTGTAGCAGTGATATGCTGATATCGGAACCTCATTCTTTTTGTTGGAAGTGAACACTGGTTAGATATTCGAAACTCTTTGCTATAGGCAGTTGTGTTTTTATTGGAGACCGCCGTAATAACATTCTTATCTCTCAGAGTTACTGCCCTTCGTTTTCACTCTGTCAGATAGTATAGCGAAAAGCTTGGTAGCCGATAAGCTCCATGTGAATGTATGTATTGTATCTTACGTTTTCGGTATATTTTGATAATTTTGAAACACATATTCTTGTGGTGTAAACTGGGGGTTTGCTATAATCATGTGCGAGGTGGAATAGAGGTCCTTTGGTGGTAAGATAAACGTTAATCAAGCTGTAAAAATATACAAATAACTACTGATATACAGGTAAACTGAAATGGATATAGAAAAGGTATTTCTTTAATTGTAAATTATTTTGTATTGAATATACAGAACCATATAAATAGTAAAGGAATATCAGGGCACCTTACCTAATGCGACTATAAATGTTAAAGATTAGTCGAGAACGTCATATGGGGATGGTTGACGACACATGTACCCAGACGTTTCCCTATCATACGATGGATGGCCTTGCTCGATTCACATTATTTCTATCAGAAGGCCGTCAACGTGTGTACCGGCGTCGAGGAGAGCGTCTTGCAGACGCATGTGTTTTAGAACTCGACATATCTAGGGGTGGATCGGTTATGGTTTAGGGAGGAATTCACCATGGTTTAAAGGCACTTTTAGTGATCATTAACGTGAATTTAACAGAGACGAGATCTTGAGGTCTCGTGTTTGGGATCGGCATGACAACTGCCTATCGGTATATTAAAAAGGACATCCGTAACACCGATCATATGCCAAAACTCAGCAACCACAAAATTTCGTTATCTGGATAATGTAAGCGGGATGATCTACTGAATATTGTTCAACTGACTTGTGAATGTTGTTTACCTGGCTTGTGAATGTTGTTTACCTGGCCTGTGGATGTTGTTTACCTGTCTTGTGAATGTTGTTGACCTGGCCTGTGAATGTTGTTTACCTGTCTTGTGAATGTTGTTTACCTGGCCTGTGAAAGTTGTTTACCTGTCTTGTGAATGTTGTTGATCTGGCCTGTGGATGTTGTTTACCTGTCTTGTGAATGTTGTTGACCTGGCCTGTGAATGTTGTTTACCTGGCTTGTGAATGTTGTTTACCTGGCCTGTGGATGTTGTTTACCTGTCTTGTGAATGTTGTTGACCTGGCCTGTGAATGTTGTTTACCTGTCTTGTGAATGTTGTTTACCTGGCTTGTGAATGTTGTTTACCTGGCTTGTGAAAGTTGTTTACCTGGCCTGTGAATGTTGTTTACCTGGCTTGTGAATGTTGTTTACCTGACATGTTTATAATGTTTATGGCCATGCTCTTGTATATATGTTAACGTTTCATTAATTTAGTGAACATTCAAATCTCTCTATGCCGACAGAAAAAATGAAAAAAAGAAAAACCGTTTCTTAATTGATATTGCTTGAACAGAACTTTTTATTGTTTATGTTATCAAAATGAAAACTAAAGAAAAAGATCGGGGCACAGGTTAACTGCAAAGAGGCAAATAATGTTAATCCACTGTTACTTCGGTGTTTTTTAGTCCAGTTTCCATCCTGAGAAAGTAGAAACTCCATAATGATTGTCGGTACTTACTATAGTCCCAACTGCTACAGTTGTATATCCCATCCGGATAAAAACATGATCTCCTTCGTTCAAAAAGATAACCACCACAGCGGTAGATTGGTAATAGTCGCCATTTTCTGAGGTATCTGAAAAAGAGGATCCTCTAACATCGCCGTTCACTATGAGAAAAGTATCGAATTCCTGACGAGCATCAGCCAATATAGTCCATGTTAAAACATAGGTCCCGGACTGTGGAACAATGTAGATACCCTCAGTCGGACTATATCCGTTCCCATTGTCCAGTGCCTCGTGATCGAAGATCACGGCGGCGTCAGTTTTGAAAGCGGTTTTGAAAGTGGAAAGGGCCGTGTGGAACGCAACTGCCCGCATTGTTGGAACGCCTAGAACAGGCAATGGTATGAATACAATACTTTTCAAATCGCTCATATTATCGATGTATGCTTGATACTGTAAAATCCTATATCTTTATGAGTTGGTATTTCGTTGTTTTTCAGAAATAACTATTTCGTGGATACTAGATTTCGTGGATAAATACAGCTTATTTTATCTTCTTTTATTCAATGAAAAAACTTGGACTTATGAATCCGAGGAATAAGAATATCCGCGAAACCAATGAAAATAAATTCCCATTAAAGATTATCGTCTTACAGTATATAGAGATTCGTTTTGAGATTAGGAGTCCTCATACTACTGGAGGTTATGTTCAGATTAATTCTCCTGAATTTTAGTCTGTAAATTTAATGTAAACTTCTTTAAGACTTAAATATAGCAATCGTCTGATGACACATTAAAAGAAATTTCTAAATATTTTCTGACTGTGATAAAAACACGACAGGAAATGGTAATACGTGTACTACAAAAATCGGTAAAAATCTTTTTTTTTTTTTTTTTTTTTTGTGCTGTTAGCAGTGTTTGTCATGTTGCTACATGTCACCATTTAATATTTAATAAAGGGGACTTACGGTTTTGTCTTGAGCTGGAAATAGTGCTAACTTCTTCATCATCATCATCAGTTCTCTTCAGGATATCATTTCGTTTGGTAGGTTGCTCCTGATGTCCAACCGTTTGTCTGGAAGACGGTGCAATAGAATTACGTTTCGAACTTACTTCTTTTTCTTCATTACACGCAGAACATGGCGGCGATTGGAATTGTGTGTCTTGTGGTTTGTTTTCGGAAGTAGCAGGTCCAAAGATTTTCTGCAGGATGGCAGTATTGTTTCGCGGTGATCGATTATCATTTAAAATATTAGCATTTGGTGTCGAAAAGTCTAAATGTGATTCTGGATCGTCCGCGTTTTTGTTTTTTTCTATAAACGGTTTGGATGATTCTATTGTCTCCAAGACTGAAACTCTTCTTATTAGCCGCTCTATAATAACATCCTTTTGTAAAATTGCCGTTTCGTGTGACGCGATTTTCAGTTCAAGCTGGTCAATGCGTTCATCCTTTTCGGCCATCTGACGCTCCATGCTTTCAAATTTTTGATAAACAAAATCAACGAAATCATGCTGGTGTTGTGGTTGAAATCCAGGGTTAAGGTTCTTCCATGGTCGCTGCTGGTTAACAGTGTCAAACTTTTTTCCATTCAGAAAGTCAAAACAATCAGAAGCTAATATGATCAAAACAATATTTACGAAAATGTCAGCCATTTTGTCTCTTAAACAATGCTAACACAGTTCTAGACGTTTCGCAGCTATCTTATCTTACCAGCGTACGTGACCTTGATCTTGGCTATGGGACAAGTACATAGACTTTGATGTATTATATATTACCAATTAAAAATATTCTGTCATTGATAAAGACAACCACAGTTAGATAAAAACTGTACTGATCCGTATTTACACCCACGTTGTTTTAAACATTAAAGCCTTTTATCGAGTTGTATACCTCAACAAACAAACAGATCAACATACAATGCCCTTTTTTGTGACCTGGCGACAACGAACGATAACATAAAACGAAATATGATTGTTCATATGGGGACTTGAGTTCCCAGTCCATAGGCAATAATATAAAAGCAGAGAGTTTTCCAGCACTAACAAAACAATATGGTGAAACACTTTATTGGTAGAAAGTGTTTTCACCGCTGTCCTATTTATCAATCCAAGTAAGAATTATCTAAAGTAATTTCAAGAAAGTAACAACATGTCAACATAATCATAATCCATACTTAGATTCCGTAAAGCTAAGGCAAAATATGAACAAAAGAAGATTTAAACGAAGACCCTTGACAAAAATATCAAGAAAATTCCAACATGTCAATATAATCATAATTCATCATCAAACTCAATTAAACTAGGGCAATATATGAACAGAAGAAAGATTTACATGGAGACTCATGGAAAAAGTGCAGGGACCACGTGATCAGGAAGAGTAAGCGTCTTCTCCTTCATCGACGAGATGTTCTCCTTGGTCAACTTAAGTAATGCCAAGGTCCACAACAACAGAACCAACTGGCAAACAAATGAGCATCAATTACGTCCAGCTTCAAATCGCAGTAAGAGATAGAATATTTCTTCATAAGATCACTATTATGGCGATATAATTCCCCCATCATTTCATCAACCTACATCTTTTGAAATTCCGAATTTGTCCGTCAGTTTTCGGGATCTTTTCATGAAAATCGTGATACTTGGAAAATGTCTTTGAATATCGAATTAACTGCGACATGTCAACATGGGGAAACAGGATGTTGCTATCTAGAAAATGGAAAGAATCGTGCTATTCAATAAAAGCTCTTGAAAAATACTTATTTGTGTTCATGTCTCATTTTGGTAAATGTCTCCATCTATTGTGATTTATTATAACATTCCTGTTGGGCGTATTGTTTTTCATTTTCATGTAAATTGAAATTTCCTTGCATTACGAAAACAAAAATATCATGAATTTTTGCCATCATTAAAATACTCTGAAAATAAACATATTATAGAGAAGCGTAAAGCATTTTGTTTAAGAAGTTCAAATAAACTTCAACTTAATCATGTCATACATGAGATGACAACGCTTTCTGTTTGTTGAAATGGGCTCCTGAACATTGTTACAGTGGATATGGCATAATTTGGTATTTTGAATGGCATCTCGAACTGACATCGCCTTCAGGAGTAAAACATTACAAAGTTACAAATTATTTATAAGAGTCTAGATCTACAATATTATTTGCATTGAAGCATCATAACGACCAGTGGTTGCATCTGCCTGGCAAATCGGTTAAATGCTGTTGACAAATAGTAGCTGCATACTTTGACCTCATACAACCTACTGACACCGAATCAGGAGTGTAGTCAATTAGAAAACAGGTTAATAATCCAATCTTTTCCCCGGCAAATTTACAGTATCATCAGCGATATACCTCATTTCGTTAGATACAAATGATGTGGAATGTTGATTTATTTTTTGTTTTGTCGGTTTCAGTTGGGTCCTGACATGCAAATAAAGTATTTTTCTAAAATCTTATATTTTTCTTATATCGATATACATGAACAATGCATACAGCACAATTGACTCTCTTTTGTTTTCGCAAATTATAAAATAAGAACACGTGCGATTCAGAGAATACATACATTTTAATATTAATATTTGCTATATTTATATAAATTGTACCTTTTAGATGAAGTAACATAATCAAAAATATGATTGTGCTACAAAAATTTTTTTTCATTTCAGAATATTTTATTGTACGGATCGTATGTACAAAAGGAATTGGGCAACAGGCAAAGCCTATATTAGCCCTCTCCTTAAAAAATATAACAGTAATTACATGCACATTACATATGAATATATCTTGAACATAATCTTCTTGTATTATTACATAACTTAGATAGAAGATTATTTGTACTATTGAGTGAATTTCAATGGACAAGAAACATTCTAATGATCAGAATTAATGTAATACTAAGCTAATTTAGAGTTCAGAAAAATCTTTTGGTGTCTCTGATGTATTTCTGAACCGCCTCCATAATATAAATATTCATGTTTATAACTTGAGGCTGAAAACCATAAATTAACGTTTGAATATTGAGTGGAATGGAATCGTTTATTGCTGACAAAGAGTTGAATAAAGTTAGTCTTTGATTAGAATATAGAGGACAGTGCAAGAAAAAATGTTCACGATCTTCTAATGGAGCACCACATGTACAAGCAGGGCTATCACTAAGGTATGAATTGAATAAATCAGAGTTCAGATTACTTGCAAAATTTCCTAACTGACATAATATTATGTTAAATTTCCTATCACCTTGATATTTAAAAACATTAGAACATAATGGATAGGCATCCGTATCTGATGAGTTTAAACATTCCCTTTTTAATGCTGCAAGTGATGTCATTGTGGGTAACAGACAGGCTGGCTCATTCCATTCTGACATAAGTCTTGGAAAAAAGCTACAAAAATTGTTGTAAATATATTCAACTGCACTTCTAGAGGCGGATACATGTAGGTGTAGATAGATTTTTTCTTGGAATTACACAATTCGTTACCATTGTGTCTACATTATGTTATTAATTTGCGTCACTATCGGACCAAACGAACAAATTTGCTGTTATAAATAAAAAAAATACGAAAAATTCCTAATCATGGTCTGACGTATTCCCAAATATTCAGCAAAACTGAAAAATTACGAATAATACCGCACAGCGGTTTATTTTTGCGAGGACGATAATTTCGCTATTTCGCAGTGGACTAAAGTGATTGCGAAAATTCAAAGTTTGAAGAAACGATGAATGCAAAATAAGACAACCGGATGGTTTGATGGTTGATCAACAGAAAATTATTGGCTGCCGGATAGTCGGATAGTAGATGACACGACGATTAGTGAAGCGATACAACGGATTAGAACTAAAGAGGTGCAGTTGGGTAGAGAGTAGGATAACCATGTCCGTTTGGGTATGGTTGGGGGTGGATAGGACAACAGGAAGAATGGGTGGCGGATAGCTGGACAGAAAGGCTGTAAAGTTACAAAAGAGGAATATTGGTGGTTAGATATGGATATTTACGACTGGTTTGTGGGAAAAGGTGATGGGCTCTGATTGGATAGCTAGATAAGAATTAGTATTGTAGCAGTTTGACAACCAAGTTTGTAATTGCAGGATGCTTTGAAATCCAGGTTCGGAGGTAGATTTGACAACATAGTTGAAATGCGTTTGGATTGTAGGATAATCTAATTAGGGATGAATGGATAATGTGACTAAATTGTAAATTGAACCAGTGAACACAAGGGTAAATGTTGGTTTGATATTATGTTTGTTTGTTGAGTTCATCGCCTCGAGAATAGCCGGGGTCATTTGGAGGCAGAATCTCACCGAAGTATACTTAGCTTGTGATCCACTCAAGAATATAGTGGAGGGAGCACATCTAATGATATCCAACAGTTTGTAGTTCGGACAGTAAGTTAAGTGATTCATGATAACAGGATTAAGTAAATAAATATTGTATGGATATATGGGATCAAAGGCGAACCTTTGGAAGCTGGTTTGTAGGACAGTCCTATAAAGAACCGATGATGATTTGATAAAGTTAGAAATGATTTAGCATTTTTGTTGAAAGGGTAGTAAGTGGAATAAAATGCACCAAAGATATAAAGCAAACAATGGTATTTTGAAGATTCACAGTACATTCATTGTAAGTATATTTTCAGCATTGAGATGTAGGCAGACTGTCTTTTCGATGTCGTAGTCTAGATCAATCTGCCACAAGAAACACGTGACATATGCAACTTCATTCGTTAATCATAGAGAACAAAATGAATATGATAGTTACCTTAAACCGCTACATCGAGAAATAAAATGGTTAACGAAGCATGATAAACAGCTGTATACATTGGTTACTTATTAACACAACACACTTTGTCGTTCTAGTCCAGTTTGCGGATGAATTTGGGATGGGCGTGATCTCAATTTCGACGGAAATTTACCAAAGAATGTACATGTATGTATCGTAGTTGTGTAAATAAATTACATAAAGGAAAAAATGCAAACAAACGTGACCGAATATTGATAACATGAGGTTTCAAATGTCTTTCTAAATCATAGCTTTATCACAAATATTTCTTAATTTTCGTTAGTGAAAATGCTAGCACCGTTATACTGCCATCCGTCCCATTTCCGCAATCTGGAAAAAAGTTTATTCTTGCGTTTCAATATTTCACACCTCAGGCAATTCTTTTTTATTTCATGTACTCCGATTCTGAGATTTGCCCAGCTCATCCTCGCGTTGAAGTTTACCCTTAATAACGCTACTCCTTTTATCGTCTTTCGATATGCTTGCTACAACTATAGCTGGCAGGATAATTCGATCTCCGCGATCGACCTCTCCCTGTGCTCCATAATACCGATAATGTAACTTTGATTTCTCCCAACAAAATTGCAAGGAAGGCGTTTCCAGTAACATAATCCACACAAGTTGAATGCACTTCGAAACAAAATCCTTCATTTTTACATTTACGTTGTCTTTTGTTGTAATCAGACTCGATTTGGAAGCGCCGTGATGATATATTTTTTCCATCCATACGTCATCAAAAAAAGCCTGTAATCAAACCAAACAAATTTGGTTGTTTTCTTTCTTTCATACAAAGACAGTGTTATTTGTACAGGAAGATCCTTTCAGTTTTTGTTGAATAATACTGTGAATAAAGTTTCATTAATATTCATTGTGAAAAGTAAAGTGAATATTTAATAATGAGTTTTTGCTGTATATTGCAATTAAAGATCGCAAATTACAAAAAACTACAAATAAATAAAACAATGATAATCAAAAGCAGAATTTAGAATGAAAAATAAAAACTTTAATCTATAAAAGCCTACCTTACCACTACACCGTAACATTTGACATAGCCCCTTAACTCATAACTACGCATTTTTACGCATTGTGACGTCGGTGTCCCCCTTATTTGTGGAGGCGTTGATCTACTCATGAAACCAGAGAAAATGCTGAACAACTTTTGTTACTATCAAATTTTCGTTTAAAAAATATTTCTTACAAATTTTGCGAGTTGAAAAAACAAGGCGTTGTTTTTAACATCATTGGATTGATGACGTCATGTGCACGGTTGACGTAAATGTCTATTCGCGGGTCCGGTTTGTTAACCACACATATGTTCGGAAAGAACGAGAGCTTTCACTCGAATTTCAAAACATGGACACCTAATATATAAAACCATGTGCATGTGCCATCACTTTTCATAATTCACTGCAAATGTTTTGATTTGAAATTCATCCGATACTATTGAAACAGCCTCGTGTCAACCTATACTACACACCTAAGGCCGATTCGAATGATATTGCATACAAATACTCACTGAATTTTATCGTCATTTAAAAGCCAAAATCTAATCAAAATCTATCTTTTTCAATTTCAATTCAGAAAATACCAAAATAAAGATTTCTTGAGTTGACAAAAGCAGTCGCTTTTAAGTACCTAAACAAACACCACAGTAAGTTGAAGTCTTGCGTTGAACAAACACGTGTGTGATTACGATCGCAACAGTACAGCTTTTCTGTTAGTTTTATAATACGCTATGTAAACAGTCGTTTAGCCTGAAATATTTCATTTTATTCACATAAAGTAAAAAACGACGATCATCCAGAAACTGAAATAAAACATATGAAAAAACCTAATCATCGACGGAAAAGGCTTTTCGGGTATTTCCAGAGTGACCACTTCCGATTTACAGACTCGATCACATATTTTGCCGAAATACAGTACAGTACGCTGCGAACAATGTACATATCACTGGTTCTTTCATGCGCCACTCAACCACACGTGCATTCTTAAATCCTGGCAAACCTATTTGTTTTAGTTGCCAATTTATTTCGTAAATGAATTTTGAAATTATCATGACAATTAAAGGAAAAGTATGAATTCCTATCAAGTTGTACGAGATTGAAAGTAACATGTATTAAAAAGGAATGGTATTTTTCACTGTTTGAGGTTTGAGTCCGCAAGCCTTATACATAGTTTGAATGTCAAGATCCACCAACCCCTGTTATCTGGAAACATCTATATTAGGAAAGTTACATAACAATTATAGTGAAAATATTTTTATTCCATACAAACTTCTAACTATTTCCAATGAAGTTTAAATAGTTATTAAGTGTACAAAATGATGCTTATATTTTCGTTTTTTCCCCCGAGTTTCTCATAACAACACAAGATTGTTATAGATTGGACAGAGTGTGATGATACTGGAACATTCAAGTCATTCTATGCCATCGGAGCCAGATATTCTTCATCTATTTTCCCCTTACCATTTATTTTCCATGAGGATTATGCAAAAAAAACTATTTCATTTAAATTGTGTGCAGTTGGGTTTTTTTTGTTTACACAGAAAATGAAACCCCACAAGCGGAGAGGAAATGTCTAGACATTCAAATGACAAACCATGCTTGAAGTTATTGGTCATCATGAGAACTAAAACACATACAGAATAAACATATTGAAAAATTAATTTTATATTACAGATATTCGTAATGTATGTCCTTACACAGTTTTCACACTTTGTACATCAGCACTACAGCTGTGTAACGAAGGTTTACATCATTATAAAACATTTACACTTTTTGGTACACGTTTATTGTATGTAAGCTGATCAAGATGCCTTTTCTACATTTTCCAATTATGAATTATGCTTTTTCATTTTATCAGATTCGTAATAATAACACTCGATAAAACTAGGGGAAAATATGAACAAGTAAAAGATTTACACGAAGACTCTTGAAAGAAGTAAAGGAATTTTTTTATGAATAATAAGTGTCTTCTGCTTCATCGACGTCATTCACCATGCACATCCTGGTCAATCCAAATAAGTAAAGTCATGTTCCCAAATAAGTTAAACACCAAAGGAACCACGAGGCATACTTACCAGCATGAAACACGTCCATATTCAATTTTTAATTACCCTTACCTCCAGTAACGCCTTTTCGATATCGTAGCTTAGAGACCGTTGAAGGTGTTGGATTTTATTCTGATTCTGTAACAAAAAGCAAAATGTTGTCGTAACATACTGTTTGAAACTTTGACAATGATAGATATCATACGATCATGTACCAGTAAACCCACATAATTGTTATCAAAAATCTGTGGAGTTATATAAATAGGAACTTGACAAAAGAGCAAAATACAAAAGAAATAAATCCAAATAGGCCGGAAACGGAATCTTCTTATGTTTTCTCTGTGGTTTAGACTTTATGTTGTCTATAGGGTAAATAGACCGATTGGCAAAAGGTAAGATATATAAAAAATACATCGTCAGTGTCTTAAAATATAAGCTGTATTTTGGCTAGGGTGAAGAAAGACAGAAGTGGCAAGTCTTTCTGTCCCGAGCGAAAATACAGCTTATATTCTACGACGTGGACCATGCATTCTATTTATCCTGAAACATTGCTTGGAAATCTTACTAATGAAACACAAACAGTTTTGTTGTTCAATGTGGTCAATCACGTTGACATTACGCTGCATTTTGCCTAATGTGGGGCGCCAAAAGAAGTGCTCTGCGCGGAAATATGGCTCCAAACTTCATCGGATATAACAGCAATTTTAAAACGTTTTAATGAATCAGTTTGTTCATTAAAACATGTAAAATCACATATTTCAACAGCTATTTATATTTCTAAATGTAATATTTAAATGAATTCGGAGAGTATGTATGTCAAATTTCCGCACATGCTAAAATGTAAAAAAATTCCGGTACTGCCAAATGCAACAAAAATATATGTGGTAGGCGTATTTCGACGATGACAGCGCCAGTTGCAGGATAAATTCTATTATGATATTAGATACGTATAAAACTGACTCCTTTATCCATGTGTAGAAGCTCTGATATTTTCTTGGCCTGTTCCTGTTGTTCCTCTTGTACAAATTTAAACACTGTCTGAAATTATAAATTACAAATTGATTTTGAAATCAAAATCAGTTCATTTCAAAAACTTTATGAGTAGATAATTTCTAAAAAAGGGAACCTGTATAAAATATATATAGACAATAAGAGAGCATTTTACTTAAAGTATTTACTTTATTCGATTGAAAGACAATAAAAACTTCATTGTAGGTGAATGTTACGATAATTTCATTTACGTATTTTATGATAAAAAAATTAAATTGATAATCTCAACGAAAAACACACATACTCAACGAAATAAAATAAGATATAACACAATATGATAGACGATGATGAACTGAAATGGCAACCGTTATGTCAGTATTTGGTTTTTAAATATTTCATTTCCTTGTGAACACTGACTAATGAAACCATTCACACAAGGAAGTCTGGCAGTTTAAACCAAATCAAATTTCAGCCAAATAGCCTAACAAGGATTGTATCAGTATAATCTTTGGGGGTTTCCGAGAATTCCGAAATCTCTCCATCCAAATTCCTTTCAAAGTCATTTTTATTTCTCCTTTACAAATCATCCCTCCCCCGAATTCCAGATGACGTTTATGTACCCAAATCATTGATATGGATTACTGAATTACTGTGACAAGTATTGAATTAAAAAAATAACAGCCAGGCAATATTGACTTTTTTAAAGAAACGCGGGAAAAAGGGGACAGCATTTTAAATCTAATATACAAAATGAATCCCTTTCCCCCAAAATCCTCGATTTATAGAAAACAATAACAATATACTTAACAAGCCACTGCAATTTAAAAATGAAAATATAATATTACTTTGATAATCGTCAGTATTAGTTCAGAGTCCTCTCTGGCTAACACGCTCATTTCTGTTCCTTTTGAGAGAGTACTGATAACGGAACTGCGGGCTGTGTTGAGAGCCTCCATCGCCGTCTCGACTGGCACATTACCAGCACTGGCGGTAGGAGTCGATTTTCTCTTTCCTTCTCCACGTAGCAAATTTAACCTGATAAAGAAATTAGATACACCATTAGAACGTGTACATTACTCTTCAGTATACAATGGGATCAAATGGCACTGGTTACCCTTCTACACGCCTAACATGTAGGGAGAAGGACGGGAAGAAGGGGGTTATGGCAAACATGTCACAACCCAGTGTGGCCAACGCCTATCTCATAGAATATTAACATCAAGGGGTCTGCTAAAAGTAACTATCAAAACTGTAGGAGTATAGATGTCTAACTGATTTCGCAAAGACACCCTTTTAATCGTTTATGCAATACATACATTCGCGGTCGGTAATGCATTCCATGACCAACACATTACGTCACTGTGGTAGAACTAGGTCTGCTCGCTAAGCAATGTTTTCATCTGAAGACAGTTGAAAGTTTTTATCTTTTAAATTGTGGCATATTTTTTTGAATTCGTCGTTCGAGTCATGGACAAACTTTCTTCGACTGTTGCGTAGGCAACTTTCGCAATATTTAAAGGATGACCTCGGCCTAATTCCAGCCAATACGATCTAACGTGCCTAGAATTAATTTTGACATGTACGGAATGGATCATTATAATAAATCTATGCCCGTAAATATGCTTATTGATTTTTGTTTTCGTTTTGAAAAACAACTCAAATTCAGTTTGAAATAAGCTTGAATATTTGAAAATAACGCTAGATCACAGTTAGAGACACTACAATCCGTGTGCCCCTTCCGTCCGTTGCGCCGTGATCAGTGACTAGTAGGATGGTAACTATAATTGTCAGTTTAAACGATATGGATAAAATTCATTTTTATGGCTTTCTACGTAATTTATATTTCTAAGTTAAATATACAATTGATGAAACTTTTTGGCTGATTCTGCAATCGATTTTTATTCTCTGGCATTATGTTATTGTTAAAGTTAATTTTGTTTTTTCTCGAAAAGGTCGGGTCATTCATTAAACAACGTCAGCCTTTAGATATGAACTATTACTGTTTTTGACAAATATCAAATACAAAACCAATCAATATATTTTATTTGGAAGATTACTTATCTAGAAAAGTTGGAAAATCAAACATTCTGTAAATGCAATTTATATTCGTGAAAATTTCACTCTCACTAGTGTTCGCTCGCAGTTTTTGGAGTGAAATCAAGGTTATGAAGGTGTAGCACTACTATAATTTGTAATGCTAAGAACAGAAACTATAAAGACTTGTGAAAAGATGCCTCATATGTACAGCATATCAAATATCTAGATTTTGTTTACGCTAATATTTCCGATTATACCTCTAATACCTTAAAAATTATCGGATAGTAGTTTGGCTTTAAAAAAACGTAAATGTGAGTTAGAAAATAATTCGATAAATAGAAGACAAAATAGGAGATCAATACATATACGACTTTAGTACTAGTTATTATTTACCTTTCTTGTAAGTTTGCAACTTCATCTCTTTCGTGGTCATGTATACCTTTCAGTACCCGGAATGTGCCCTCCTGAATTTATCAAAAACACAAAATGATTGTTATAAAAAAAATACACAGAAACATTAGCATATGTATTTTGAAATTTGCAGTTGTATATCTTGGAGTTCTTATATATAGAAATACCGCTGTAAATTGCGACGCCGAACGGGAAAAGAAAATGGATATGTCATGTCTGAATTGTCTTATTAAGACTTTTATGACTCAGTGTCCGAATTAACGACTTCATTATAATATCAAATTATCCACACTTCCTCGTTGACTAGATTGCCATGTGATTTGTTGTAGAAAAGAACATATGGATCGGCAGTTCAAAAATAACTGGTTAACAAACTTATTGAGTGGGTGTTACTGAAAATATATTCATTTCTCAAAAATGAGTCCTGCGACAACTTTGACAGAGCATTAGCAAGATTGCAGTGTTGTTATCATAAACAAACTAAACAATAACAAGTGGGACACAACACCAACTGTTCTTTATCAGAAGTATCTCGAGGTCTGCCAGACCTGGGACGCTTGTCAACAACCAGTTTGGTTAAGAAACTGCATTAATCACGAAATAGCAGAATGGCTGACACTAAACCATTCAGCTACATGCCTGTATGTTATACCAACTACAACCATTCCAGAAACTTTCCATCTTTTAGCAAATGTCAATGTTCGACTTGTCACTTTGAGATACAGTATGAGTAAGGGTATGATTTACCAGCAATACACGTGTAAACGTTGCTTTTGGTGGCAAAACAGACTTGTGTTTTGAGGATAACATACCCCAGTTTAATACGGGTTATCTTTAACAGAGTGCATCGCTTGGTGACATACAGTGTCAAACACAAAAGGAGACAATGCAAGGAGTATGACAAGGTTCAAGTTTACAAAAGCGAAAATCAGTTTTGAATAAAACTTTCATACTGAAATCGATGGTCCCCTAACGTTTGGCTAAGTATACAGAAGGAAGGTCTATAAGGCCGGATTTTGGCACTATGTTTCAGTCACCAAGTTTTGTCGGAAGCCTGTAAAACACACTAGCTTTCTACATTTTTCCCTAGACATTTTTATAATCAGGATTATCATTTATCCATTTTATTTATTTCTAACCTTTTCGTGTGTGAAGTGATCTACATGTTTACGGTCTAGACACCAAAGCGAGATGGATTTGTCTATAAATTTGAACAAACATTATCTATTATTAGTGTTTCCTGTGTTGTGCTCAATCCTTCATCAACGCAAAAATGTTATCAATGCCTAAACGTAATTTATATCACATTCAGTTTTACTTACTAAAACATCAGATCAATACTTTGTGGTACAAAAAATATAACTCTATCTTGCGTTGTATCATACCGATCTCTCATTATCGACAATATGATAAATGATATATTTTTAAAGTTTTCATGAACGTTATAAACTACCGGCTTTCGCAAACCCGTAGACAGACATTCATCCTGACTGAAAAACAATCTGAAGATCAAGGGTTAAAGAAATACTAATCCGCTAAAAATTGGTAACATTATTACTCTATTCCCCTCTTTCGGATTTGTTGCACGTTTCGCTTGATCAGTCAACTGTTCTTCTCCACCCATGCATACCTACGTATACGCTCAGTACGGTAAGTACAACTCTATAACACCTTTCGTTCAGACAGAGACGTAACATGTCTGTTATCCACGTATCTGGTTCAGAATAGACATTTTCCGTTTCTGGTATAACTTACTTTTACCTACCTGTTTTATTCTGAGTAATTCCAACATTTCCTTGATCTCGTCATCAGGCGGGGATTCATTAATCCACTCTTCAAAATGTTTATCTAACTTTTCCATAATGCTTGCAGATCTACAATACTAAAAAGGGTACACCTCAGCTTACTGGCTTGGAAAGCAGAAGTGACACCCAACAACGCAAAACGATAAAAACATGCACATTTCTAGATAAGATGAAACTTCCTCGTTTCAGTAAAATATAATAGATGTTAAGTTAACAGTTCAATAACTTTAATATATAACTGTTATCAAGGAGATCGTACTGGGCGAGGCGTGTGGTCGACAGGTAGGTAAACAAATAACCTTTTGGTGATCAAATGTACGAGGAACGAGGAAGTAAACTAGATAGATAAGGCAACTTGACGTTTTTACAAATTATTGACATAAGTAATACAGGTTGTAAGTATTAAACAAAACAGACGAGACTTCAGGACCCGGAATTAACTGGTTTTCATGGTAACGGAAGATTGTTGAAACTTAAGTGATAATGAAACCTTTAAGCTCAAAACAATTGTGATAACACAGCTTACTTATCATCATTTTATGATTTATTATTTGTTGAATGATATGAACGATTAGGTGAAAATATTTAGTCATCAGGTTGAGTTAGGTTTTTCCTTTTACTCCAGGTATTAGTAATTTTTTTCCTTCATTTTCATTATTTGTCATATGCTTCTGTTGATTATACTTATATTGTATATTGTTGACTAAAGCGTTGACATTTAAAGACTTATTAAGACATCTGCTTCTATAGATATATTGTTTAATGATCAGCATGAACATATTATCAACAGTACAATTCAGACGTCTGTCAGCAACTCCACCGATTGGAAGGGATTGTTTGTTGATTAAAAAGAATGTAAAGCTTCTAGGAATATTTCTGAACTTTAAAGTAGATTTCATACTGACATCGTCACTGTCTATGACAGTACATGGTGTCTATGTCGTCCCTGTCTATGACAGTACATGGTGTCTATGCCGTCCCTGTCTATGACAGTACATGGTGTCTATGCCGTCCCTGTCTATGACAGTACATGGTGTCTATGCCGTCCCTGTCTATGACAGTACATGGTGGCTATGTAGTCCCTGTCTATGACAGTACATGGTGGCTATATATGATTTCTGTGTAGTCCCTGTCTATGCCAGTATATGATGGCTATGTAGTCCCTGTCTATGACAGTACATGGTGGCTATGGTGTCCATGTCTATGACAGTATATGATTTCTCTGTAGTCCCTGTCTATGACAGTATATGATGTCTATGTAGTCCCTGTCTATGACAGTACATGGTGGCTATGGTGTCCCTGTCTATGACAGTATATGATGTCTGTGTAGTCCCTGTCTATGACAGTATATGATGTCCCTGTCTATGACAGTATATGATGTCTATGTAGTCCCTGTCTATGACAGTATATGATGTCTATATCGTCCCTGTCTATGACAGTATACGGTGTCTATGTCGTCCCTGTCTATGACAGTATATAATGTCTATATCGTCCCTGTCTATGACAGTATATGATGTCTATATCGTCCCTGTCTATGACAGTATATAATGTATATATCGTCCCTGTCTATGACAGTATATGATGTCTATATCGTCCCTGTCTATGACAGTACATGGTGTCTATGTCGCCCCTGTCTATGACAGTATATAATGTCTATATCGTCCCTGTCTATGACAGTATATGGTGTCTATGTCGTCCCTGTCTATGACAGTACATGGTGTCTATATCGTCCCTGTCTATGACAGTATATAATGTCTATATCGTCCCTGTCTATGACAGTATATGTCGTCCCTGTCTATGACAGTATATAATGTCTATATCGTCCCTGTCTATGACAGTATATAATGTCTATATCGTCCCTGTCTATGACAGTATAAAATGTCTATATCGTCCCTGTCTATGACAGTATACGGTGTCTATGTCGTCCCTGTCTATGACAGTATATGGTGTCTATATCGTCCCTGTCTATGACAGTACATGGTGTCTATGTCGCCCCTGTCTATGACAGTATATGGTGTCTATGTCGTCCCTGTCTATGACAGTATATGGCGTCTATGTCGTCCCTGCCTATGACAGTACATGGTGTCTATGTCGTCCCTGTCTATGACAGTATATAATGTCTATATCGTCCCTGTCTATGACAGTATACGGTGTCTATGTCGTCCCTGTCTATGCCAGTATATAATGGTGTCTATGTCGTCGTCCCTGTCTATGACAGTATATGGTGTATATATCGTCCCTGACTATGACAGTACATGGTGTCTATGTCGTCCCTGTCTATGACAGTATATATGTCTATGTCGTCCCTGTCTATGACAGTATATGGTGTATATATCGTCTGTCTATGTCCCTGTCTATGACAGTATATCTATGTATATGTCGTCCCTGTCTATGACAGTACATGGTGTCTATATCGTCCCTGTCTATGACAGTATAAAATGTCTATATCGTCCCTGTCTATGACAGTATACGGTGTCTATGTCGTCCCTGTCTATGACAGTATATGTTGTATATATCGTCCCTGTCTATGACAGTATATGGTGTCTATGTCGTCCCTGTCTATGACAGTACATGGTATCTATGTCGTCCCTGTCTATGACAGTATATGATGTCTATGTAGTCCCTGTCTATGACAGTACATGGTGGCTATGGAGTCCCTGTCAGTGACAGTATATGATGTCTATATCGTCCCTGTCTATGACAGTACATGGTGTCTATGTCGTCCCTGTCTATGACAGTATATGATGTCTGTGTAGTCCCTGTCTATGACAGTATATAATGTCTATGTCGTCCCTGTCTATGACAGTATATGGTGTATATATCGTCCCTGACTATGACAGTACATGGTGTCTATGTCGTCCCTGTCTATGACAGTACATGGTGTCTATGTCGCCCCTGTCTATGACAGTATATGGTGTCTATGTCGTCCCTGTCTATGACAGTATATGGTGTCTATGTCGTCCCTGTCTATGACAGTATATGGTGTATATATCGTCCCTGTCTATGACAGTATATAATGTCTATATCGTCCCTGTCTATGACAGTATATGATGTCTGTGTAGTCCCTGTCTATGACAGTATATGGTGTATATATCGTCCCTGTCTATGACAGTACATGGTGTCTATGTCGCCCCTGTCTATGACAGTATATAATGTCTATATCGTCCCTGTCTATGACAGTATATGATGTCTGTGTAGTCCCTGTCTATGACAGTATATGGTGTATATATCGTCCCTGTCTATGACAGTACATGGTGTCTATGTCGTCCCTGTCTATGACAGTATATGATGTCTGTGTCGTCCCTGTCTATGACAGTATATGATGTCTGTGTAGTCCCTGTCTATGACAGTATATGGTGTCTATATCGTCCCTGTCTATGACAGTACATGGTGTCTATGTCGTCCCTGTCTATGACAGTACATGGTGTCTATGTCGTCCCTGTCTATGACAGTATATGGTGTCTATGTCGTCCCTGTCTATGCCAGTATACGGTGTCTATATCGTCCCTGTCTATGACAGTATATAATGTCTATGTCGTCCCTGTCTATGACAGTACATGGTGTCTATATCGCCCCTGTCTATGACAGTATATAATGTCTATGTCTATGTCCCTGTCTATGACAGTATATGGTGTCTATATCGTCCCTGTCTATGACAGTATATGGTGTCTATGTCGTCCCCTGTCTATGACAGTATATGGTGTCTATGTCGTCCCTGTCTATGACAGTATATGGTGTCTATGTCGTCCCTGTCTATGACAGTATATGGTGTCCCTATGACAGTATAAAATGTCTATATCGTCCCTGTCTATGACAGTATACGGTGTCTATGTCGTCCCTGTCTATGACAGTATATGTTGTATATATCGTCCCTGTCTATGACAGTACATGGTGTCTATGTCGCCCCTGTCTATGACAGTATATGGTGTCTATGTCGTCCCTGTCTATGACAGTATATGGTGTCTATGTCGTCCCTGTCTATGACAGTATATGGTGTCTATGTCGTCCCTGTCTATGACAGTACATGGTGTCTATGTCGTCCCTGTCTATGACAGTATATAATGTCTATATCGTCCCTGTCTATGACAGTATATGATGTCTGTGTAGTCCCTGTCTATGACAGTATATGGTGTCTATGTCGTCCCTGTCTATGACAGTATATGGTGTCTATATCGTCCCTGTCTATGACAGTATATGATGTCTATGTCGTCCCTGTCTATGACAGTATATGGTGTATATATCGTCCCTGTTTATGACAGTAATGGTGTCTATGTCGTCCCTGTCTATGACAGTACATGATGTCTATGTCGCCCCTGTCTATGACAGTATATGATGTCTATATCGTCCCTGTCTATGACAGTATACGGTGTATATGTCGTCCCTGTCTATGACAGTACATGGTGTCTATGTCGTCCCTGTCTATGACAGTACATGGTGTCTATGTCGTCCCTGTCTATGACAGTACATGGTGTCTATGTCGTCACTGTCTATGACAGGATATAATGTCTATATCGTCCCTGTCTATGACAGTATATAATGTCTATATCGTCCCTGTCTATGACAGTACATGGTGTCTATGTCGTCCCTGTCTATGACAGTACATGGTGTCTATGTCGCCCCTGTCTATGACAGTATATGGTGTCTATATCGTCCCTGTCCATGACAGTATATGGTGTCTATGTGGTCCCTGTCCATGACAGTATAAGATGTCTATGTCGTCCCTGTCTATGACAGTACATGATGTCTATGTCGCCCCTGTCTATGACAGTATATGATGTCTATATCGTCCCTGTCCATGACAGTATATGATGTCTATGTGGTCCCTGTCCATGACAGTATAAGATGTCTATGTCGTCCCTGTCTATGACAGTACATGGTGTCTATGTCGTCCCTGTCTATGACAGTACATGGTGTCTATGTCGTCCCTGTCTATGACAGGATATAATGTCTATATCGTCCCTGTCTATGACAGTATATAATGTCTATATCGTCCCTGTCTATGACAGTACATGGTGTCTATGTCGTCCCTGTCTATGACAGTATATGATGTCTGTGT